GGGCGGTTTTAACCGGAGTTGGAACCGGTATCCGAACCGGGGCGCAAAACCGCCATGGACGGGTCAGCGCGTCATCCACATCACGTGCGGTTTAACCGCAGCTCAAGTCACATTTCAAAATTGTGGAGTATACTGAGAGTGATGATTTGCTTGAAGTTTATGTGCTGCTCGTGAAGAAGTTAAAAAGAAAAAAAAGAAGAGACTGACATGGATGGAAGACTGGCTTCAGAAAAGAGATCTCTTGGGCCATACAAATATTTTTCGGGAATTATGGCTTTATTCTGATGATTAAAGTAATTTTTCTACAAATGGTTGAAGAGACATACCTGCCGTTATTAGCAAATGTTCAGCCAAGCATAGAAAAACAAGCTGCCGTTTTCAGAGGTTCAATAAGTGCACACGAGACACAGAGTCCAAACTTGGACTGAACCCCTTCAGTGAATGCATATTATGAGGGAATTTTAAAAATCTCCTTGATTATTGAAAAAAAAAAACCCCAACATATTCTGCTTTACTCTAGCTTTAAAATTGGGTCGCCCGTTTCAAAAATGCAATCAGATTTTATGTGCGGTAAATTATTTTGACGATATTGGCAGTGATAAGATAAGCCGGATAAGCCCCTGACGTCATACAAAGGCTGTCGTTGACGGAACGCGCTGAACTGTACTCAGTATATCAACACGTTGAAATCCCTGGTTCGGGCTCCCGGTTTAACTTTGTTTTCTAGCAGTTTTTCGTCCACATTATGCGGTTCTGCCGCCAGGTATGCCTTTCCATTCTGAACTGGCAGTTTGGAATGTACATGTGTAGGGTGCCTAATACTAGTCGACAGAATTTAGAAGAAAAAAATTGGCTTTTTGCATGTTAATATGATTTTCACATAGAGATCTAGAATTTGAGTCATAGAATTCGAATCTGGTGTCAGATTTTCTCTATCAGGTCAGGATTTTTAAAATGATAAGTCACAATTTTTTTTATCCTTTCTCTTTAAGGGGGGGGGGGGGCGCATTTGAAAGCTATCTTGCTTATTAGAGGGTCGAATTTCAAACATAACAAGCAAAATCAGGAGTCTTGATATCTGCAATAAAATTTGCTAAAAAAAAGTTTCGTTTCCATGGATACGGCGGTCATACTGGATTTAGTTGACATGCCTTACGTAATGGATACTGCATTTAATGCTCATGGAAATATATTTTATATATTTTTAAAAAAAATATTATTATTATTTTTTAAAAATTATTATTTTATTTTTTAAATTTATTTTGCATGCATGTTTACAAACAACAGACCAACACATTTTTGTCGTGTATTTTTTCTAAATGAATTAGAACATTTTCGATGTTTCCTGAGGTAGTATGCAGGTTTGCAAAAAAATCATGAAAATCCACACTCCAGACACCACCAACAAAAGCTTATTCCATATAATAAACAGACAATTTTTTAGTAATATATTTTCTCTTCCTTCTGTGAAAACTTCATGAAGATTGGATGGAAAATGGTGGAGTTATTTTTAAAAGTATATAGAAAAATAGCATTTTGAGAAAAGGAGTGATTTTAAAAAATCAAAGATTTATTTTATGAGGATATGGTGGTAACAAACATGCCAGGTATGGAAAGAAATAAAGTTTTTAGGCGTTTCTTATCTGATGAAATAGATCTAGGAGAGACTGAAGGCCGAATCGGGACTTTCAGGATGCAGCACCCCCCCACCCCCCCTCCCCATCCACCTCCACCCTTTAGTTCATTTCAACCAAAAACCGATTACGTCTCACACACCTTTGGGGTATAATAGGCATGTGAATATGATTTTCATAAGGTATTTCGGTCGTAGAATCCCAATGTTGAGTGAGTTTTTCTCTATCAAGTCAGGAATTTTAATACGATACATCGGACTTTTTTCTCTCTTTAGTTCATTTAAGTATAACCCCCTAAATCTAATTCGTATGAGCATCAAAAATACAATTGTATACTGGTAATTTCAGTTCATTGAGTGACATCTTTTTCTCGAGTGAAATCATCATCTGTTCAAATGTGTCATGACATGTGACTCTTTTAATACCACGTCCATCTAAAAAGCCCTCTTTCAAGTTAATTATCTCCACTGACATTGGGGAATTACCTTTTCTGTCTAGACTTTGTAGCAGCACAACAGAAAAACACTGTGGGTGGTCACTAAATTCGAAAAGTAATCCTCAAAACGACACAACTTAACAGTGGAAACCACTTACCTTAGCTTTAATTAATCATCATCCAATGATTACCTCCCTTAGACGTTTTCTAGTGAATTTTTTACAAAACTTAAACATCACTGTTTAGCTTTTTTGCATGGTCTTTCGAACTTTAGATTGCAGTATTTCTATCACTATTTATACTACTATTAAACTATAAAAAAAAGACTGGAGTCTAAACTTTAACTACATAGAATATTATGCAAATATAACATCCTTGGTTTATTGCTTTTCTGGAAATAATAAAAGTTACTTCCCTTGTTTAATAGAGCCTGTTATTCTTACTTTCCCTTACGAACTCAAGAATACCTGAATTTTTTATAAATATGTGAATTTTGCAAAAATCTGACCTGCTAAGCGAAAACTAAAAACGCTGGGATAAGCACATGTATATAAGATTTGACAACTTTCGTCGCTAAACCTTTTTCATCCTTGACCTCTGATAACTTTTGCAGTGTTGTTCCACTCAGGAATCCTGAAAAGCAAATTCATTTTAAGCCTAGTCCATACCATTAAACTGTAATTTAGTGATGTTGAAGGGTACATCTGTGATAGAGCTTTGGGGGGTGAAAACATAGAACATATTCACAATTTGGACGTAAGTGAATTGCTTGCAACAACGACTCAGTGGCCAACATCAAAGGGAAAGTACTCACCTGCAACACACGGTCTCTCCTTTTCCCCGATGGAGAACAGCTTGCCTCCTTTCTTGCTGCAATCTTTGTGCCCTTCTAAGTAGGATGGCGTCATCAGGAAAGCCACACAAGAGTTGTCTCTAGTTGTAAGCCAGCCGAGAGGACATTGGCCACGGACTGTGGAGGGCGGTAAGCATCTTGCAGAAGTGACGGTGCTTTCGGTCTCTGTGTGCTTGCTGGTGGTGGTGCTCCGGAAATATCTCCTGCTGCTCCTGGCGCTCCTTAAAGTGGTACTGGTTGTGGTGGCCGTGGTGGTGGGTGGGGTGGTTATGTTGAGTGCCGTGGTAGTAAGAGGGAAGCCTGTCGTAGCAGAGAGGAAAGTGGGGGAGAAGATGGGAAGAGAGAAAAAGGGGTCGGGGGGGGGGGAGGGGTAGAAGGTGAGAGGGGGTAAGGCGATTAATTAATTTTTTTAATTTTTTTTTTTTTTGGGGGGGGGGGGGTGGGGAGGAAGAGGGATGTAAAGGAATTTTTACGGGTTTTTACTAACGACAATGTCGCCCAACACGGAACTAAAGAATTGG